TCACTTTTGCATGAAGTTTATTCAGCAGTATTTTGTGTTAAGCAGCTGAAGTTTTACACATTTTGATTCACTTATAATCAAACTTAGACAAACTGAGTGTCCTCTCTGTGAACTGCTGGAGTGGAGCAGGTTCTGACAAGCAGATGATGAGTTGCAGACAGGCTGAATGAGTCTAGGGGAGTAAACGGTTGAGTCCAGTTAGAACTGCATTTCTGAGGGAGCATCCTGTGTGTGTGTGTGTGTGTAAGAGGAGAGTAAAAAACAGCAGTGAGTCTCCTCATCAGACAGATGCCTGCCAGCTCAGTTGAGTGCACCTTTGACCAGGTTGTATGGCTGTCTCATAAATGCGCATTTATGCTTTTAAACAATACTGTATCTTATCATAACTGTTTTATTAATAAAGGAGGTTTGAACCTTTAAAAGTATGTTATATTTTTCACCTCAGTAATAGGTCCACGTCGGAGGAGAAAAAACGAGCACAGGCGGAGGGAGTAAGTTCGGTGTTTGTCCACAACAAAAACTGGAGGTTCCACACCGAGATCTCTTCTGCGTTTGGACATTACGGGGTGGAAAAGAGTCCAGGACACTGACGCTCGGACGTCCTCAACAGAATATCAGAAGGTCAGCAGACTACCTTTAAAGTTCTGTGATTGGTCTTCTTATAGGCAAATTTGTTGTCAATGTGCTGGACTCCAGGGATAAAGTTACAGTAAAGTAAAAAACTAAGAAACGCGCGTATTTAAAAGTAAAGTGAGTTTTAAAAATACCAGCCAAGACCCAGGCTCCAGGTAAAACACGTAGTGGTCAGCAACCTGTGTAGTCGACGGACTCACAGTTTGGGGAAGTGTGGTTCTAGGTCGTCGTGGCCTGCCGCCAACTTCTGTAACCCGAGACTGAGTTCATACTATAACCTTCCAAGGTTTTGTGGCTTGCTAAAAACAGTATCAATTAACTGCTTATTAATTTGCCGTTTAAAATAAGTAGAGCGGAGTCTGGTGAAGTGGTGTATATTAAAGTACCAAGTAAGGCCATAATACACCCGGTAAAATAATAAGTACTGACTGGTTCAAAGCCCTTTATAATAAGATACAGTGTTAACATGAAAATACCCAATTAACAGTACAAACTAATTTGAAATAGAACTGAGTCAATAAAATATAGAGCTGGATAAAAAATAAAAGCAAAATAACAATGTTCCAGAGTGCTTGTTAATTGCAATATTAGTTTAAAATAGGCGGCACGGTGGCTCAGTTGGTAGAGCTGATGCCTCTCAGCAAGAAGGTCACCGGTTCAAATCCCGGTCTGGGG